TGCAGCCGCCTTGATTCCTGGGCCAAGGCCTGAGGCGCGAAGGTGGCTGGGCAGAAACGGCTGCTCGCAGCCCTCCCCCTGAGGTGCATCTTGCATGTAAACGGATCAAGGTGTAGCTGGTTCCTGTTGCTGTACGGTCTTCTAAGGACGCATTGTGAAATGTGGGCTTTACGCTCAGGGGGAAAGCACCCACTGTCTTCAGTACAACCCAGCTTTCTTCCAAACACTTCAAGCTCAGGTGTAGAAATGAATTAATTCAGACGTTGATGGCATGAGCATTACGTGCATGCAGTAATTGTTGCCGTGATTTCTTACCATCATACGCTGCATTAGCACTTGACTATTGTTCATTGACAGAAGACTGCTAGATTGGTCAGTAGTGCAAAGCCACTGCTGTCCATGTTACAACATCACATCTCAGAACATGCTTGCATTATTTTAATAGCATTAATTTTTTGTAAATAGTAATAAGGCTGATAGATGAGGAATTAGATTTCATGGGTGAAGACAGTTAATGAAAATTCCATTTTACTTTAATCAATATTTAGCAGTAAAACAAGGAAATCCACACAGCTTCTGGACAGCACACTGATTTCTTTCTGTATGCTTTAAATGGCTTGAATATCTTTATTTTCTCATACAGCTAAAAGTCCTGCTGATGGTACTCCTAGACGACCTGTTTTATCTGTCAGTGCCAGAAAAATTAAAGATAATGTAGCAGACTGGCATAATTTAATGATGAAATGGGAGAGACTGAATGATAATGGATTTACTATGGCAAACAAAATAGTCAACATGAAGATCAGTGAGCAGTAAGTATGCTAATACATACAAATAAAGACAGCATAAAGATTACCTTTATTGAGAAATTAATCTGTTTTCTTCACTAGAAAGTTCTTTTTGGAGATGGAGGAAAGAACGGGTCAGAGTGGATAAGCTAGCTCTTAGATCAAACTCAGCAGTCGAACTATTTAAATAATAAATGTCTCATAAAGATTAAAATAATCTCATAAAGTAATGATATTTGCAAGAAATGGAAAATGTTTATTATACAGTCAAGTATGATAGATATTTAAAATACTTACATAATGTACAAAGTTAGAATCTAATCCTATAGATCTCAGCCCATGTGAGTTCTCTTACTCTCTTGTGTATTTATACCGAGGCTAGTATTACTAAATTTCACTCAAGTCAAAAGTTCAGCAGATTTTAAGAAAGAATCTGTGATTTATATAGACAAAAAAGTTATAACACTGATTTAAAAAAAAAAACTAAAACACTTTGGTAGAGCTATTATCTTCATGCTGTAAAGAAAAACCTACAACTAACAGGGTTTTGAGAAGAAACTTCTCCAGAGTCCTGACAGCTGAACAGGGTTTGTCTGACAGGGTTCTGATAGGTACATGCTCAGGAATATTTTGCTGTAATGGTGTCAGATGTTGCTTTCACTCTCTAGCAACTCCCTTTCCCCTGTCTAAGTTTACAGCTGCTGTGGGAAAGTCAGTAAGACAGAAACAGGTATCTGCACATTAGCTCCTCTGGGTTCGCAGTTAAATGTCTTAGCTTAAATTGTGCATGAAGGTGAGTTTGTGCTGAGGCACCAGATTGTCAGCTGGAGCAGCTGAAGCCTGGGCATACCTATGAGAGAATAACCCCCAAGGGGGTAAGGTAAAGTGGGAAAAGGTGTTACCCTAACACCTGCAACTTTTTTTTCAAGCACATGCTCTAAGGTAGAGTTCCTCTATGTTCCTCTGAAATTATGGTATCAGTCCTAATTGCTCACACAGCTAGCTATGTCTCTTACTGGTTTTATGTAGGAATTCTCATAAACAGCCTGTGAGAGGGAGATTTTGTAGGATCAGACCACATGGATTTTAAATCTGCACAGCTCAAGAAAATCTATATGCAGTTGTTTACTCTGCCTTATGTTTCTATTTTAGATTTCAAGACAACAAACTGGAGATAGCATGTGATAACAGTGCCACTGAATCTGAAAAGCCAGCTCCAAAATACAATGAAGAACTGGACAATTGCTGTACAGAATTACTGGAGACCTTAAAGCATATGGTAATGCGTACTTTTCAGTCTTAGTCAATATGAATCAATTCCATGTGTGTTCAAGTATGATGTAAAGGAAATGTCCTCAAGTATGTGTTGTAAACAGAAAATTGAGATTTTTATTCATAGTTCTTTGGCTTCAAACCTAAATGATTATAAATCCAGTGTGCACCATTTATTTGCTTGATTGGTAAACTTGAAAGTTGCTTTTACATCTGCCTTCTGCTTACAATTCTACTCCTCCTTTTATAAAGTGATCTTCTGAAAATGAGTCATACCAAAAATGCATTCTAAAACTGCACCTGTTTTTTCATCCTGAGTATTCCCTCAGTTCAGAACAAAACAAAGCATAAAGCAGTGCTTTACCTGCTATCATATCCTTGCAGCTATCTTTGATCAGACATAATGCAGTTACATTTTTAGTCTGCCTACCTGCATTTTCTGTGCAGAACTCCTTCTCTAGAGACAGTAGAATAAGATAATTATTATGTAACCCATCTTTTTTCTGCATACGTTGCTAGGAATTAATGTCACCTGTCAGTTTGACAGGAAACAAATATAATTTTTTTTGTCTGATATTGTAATTTAAAATTCTTATTTTTAATAACTTTTACAGCCTTCTGCCATAGTGGAGACCCATTCAAAAAATGATAGATCTATTTTTTATATAGACAGGACACTAATCCAGTATTTGAAATAAGCAGGAAAGCAGCTAGATTTTCCTCAAATTTCATTCTGGGAAAAAGTAACAATAATTTGGATTTTTTCTTTTTTTTTTTTTTTTACCTTGAGGTAGTTTTGTATTCAGACTACCAAGTGTGTTGATGCAATTTTTATTACTCCTGAGTAATAGGAGTCTAAGCAGCCAGTGTTAGATTGGATACTAAACATAGCTACTACAGACATATTTTATTTTTTCATTCCTTATGAGTCTGAACCAGCTGAGAAGTTTAAAGAAATATCTGTATTTTAGCTTCTTGACTTAAAGATACTGCCCTTAAGCTCCATTTTGTTGTAAATATTAATCCCCATCACTAATGCACAAAGTCAGGTGAACATGAAGGAAGTGGATGAAATGACCTGTTCTTCAAAGCAAGTTGTTAAATCAGCCTGGATATATTGTCAGTCATAGTTTGAGCTGCTTTTCTTACCTGCTGCTGATCTTTTGAAATCAAATTTAAGTCATCTTGACATGGTAATGTAAGAAAGCATGTGTTTATAGGGCTTGTGCCACGCTTGTTCATAGGCAGCCTGATGGTTTCCCCCAGTCCTAAATTGCTATAGAAGAAACCTAGAGAGGTGTGAAAAAAAATGAGAGGACACTTTCGAATTATGCAAAATCAGAGTCAGTAAGTCATGTTTGCAGTGTTCAGAATTTTAGAGTATCTCATATTAAATCTGTATATAAATTCCAGCTTTGATTCCTGTCTGCAGTTAAAAAAAGTGAGTTAGAAATGTTAAGACTGAATAGTCTTAAGAAATAGTGTGTTTTTAAAAAAATGTTTAAGATTATAGTAACCTAATGTTCCTGAGATGTTCAACATTATTTGTTCATCATTTTCAGACAAAGATACAACTGAAAATGGAAAAGCTTACTTCGACTACTAAAGCTATCTGTGACTTGGAAACATTCCACCGTGGAGCTGGGAATTGCACAGCACCCTTCTTTCATACATGGCCAACACCATACTTCTGTAAGTAAAATATTGATTATCTTAGCTAATTGTGTTGTTGATGTCATCTAATTTAGGACTGGAAAATAAACCCTTTTATTTGGATGTCTTGCCTTAGAGAGAGAGAGTGTGTATCTGTCTCCTTTATAATTGACTAATCAATAAACACATGAATGCACCACTTGGCTTAGGGTTACTGCTGATGGCTGCTTGTATGAATTGCCAAGCATAGTCTGACATGCAACAATTACAGCATAAAACTAAGCTTGTCAGCAGCTTACGGTGTCCAAGCTCCAACAGCCACATACTTTGTAGAGAGAAACATATTTGCAACTTGGTAGTGTTAAGCTGTAGGCTTAAGTGACTTGACTTGACACTGAAATGAAATCCTTGAAGGCAAAGAACAAGCTATACTTCAGTTAATTCTCAGGCAGCCAAAGAAAAATTCCTCTGATCTCAATGTCAGTCAAGACAAGTAAAGAAATGTTAAGTTACCATCTCCTGTTAATATCAATCCTTTTAGCATTGCTTGATGGCGAAAGGTACTGCCTCCCAACTGGCATTACCACAGTTTTAAATCTGTTTGAATTCAAGAGAAGCCTGATTGCATGCAAACCAGCTGCCACCTTTGCGAAGCGAAAGTCATACCTTTGTGAAGCCCTGCTGCTTACTTCACTCCCACAAGTTAGCGGGAATCTTATGTATTAGTTTCTGCCAGCTTAAAAGGGTAAGAATGACAGAGACAACTGCTGTCAAAACAGTTGTCATGACTGAATCATTTAGTGATGCTCTCTACTCCATGGAAGACTAAATCCTCCTGAAGGTAGTGATAGTTCAGGCTAAGTTAGAAACACAAGATCAGTCTCTCTTTAAAAATAATTTATATGCTATTTTTTAGAAAGTCAAACAACTAAAGATTATTACATAAATATATTTTAACCCCCCTACCAGTATGACTAACATAACTAGTAACAATATTAGTTTTTACATTACACACTTCAGTTTTGGTCTGTTGTTTTGTTTTATCATTATTTTTCACTATTGATATCACTGATTGATGATTATGCATTGCTAAAGTGCCTACAGCATGTGAGGACATCCTTTAGATTAGCTAAAATCAACAGTGACTCTAAAATGTGAAGCTTGTATTTCAAGATAACATTATCAGATTTTAAAATCAAATTTCAGTTATTTGCAAGAATAGCTATAATTGCTAATTTTACGTTGGGTCCTGAGAATCAATACCACTGCTTATTCTAGAGTTAAAAGGGGATTCATTTCAAAATCACAAGTGTATAAAATATATCCAAAAGTTGAGGAAATTGTTTAGCATTTTATATTCTAGTGTACAAACATCATTAATGCTGTAAAAAACGATATATCTAAATATGGGGAATAGCTTATGTAAGGTAAGGTGTTTTTAATGATCAACATGTTACAAGTATAATTTAACTTTTAGAGATGTGCTGCAATGTTCTGGTCAATGTGCTTAGTTTTTCAATCCATTTCAGATGAGGTTTCTCTGAAGCTCTCTGAAATGTACAAGAAGGAACTACAACTTAAGCAAACGATCGTACAAGAAATTGCTCATTCTGCTGACCAGGATCTGATGATGGTCTATTTATCATCATGGTTATACCAGCCTTACATTGAGAACAGCAGCAAACTACTACTTGAAGCCATGCTGCTGGAAACAGGACATAGACAGTGCTAGAATTTCCAATGTTACGTGGCTTGATTCTAATGATGCTTATATGAAGTCGAAACAGCAAATTGCAAGGCTTACCAAGTAAGTTCAATTTTTGTAAAACTTATTAAAGATCTTTTTCTCTATTTGTATTTATTATTTTGCCTCAGCTGATACTCCTTTTTCTTCATGGGACAATCTGGGTTTGGTTGCTTTATGCATTTTAAGTGCAATAGAGAGGCTACAGGTAGGAGACCAAGTCCCCTATAATCCAAAAAACGTAAGCACTACTTTGTGGTCTGGGGGGATTCAATACACATAGACACCTACAGCAAATAATTTAACTACTTTCCAAGTCTTGACAGTCTAAAATGTCTACATTGTCCCTTTCACCATAGAAATTCAGCACTTCTTGATCTTTTGCAGGCTTTTTTTTTTTTTTTGCATGACTTAACAGGGCTAGTCTTTTCTACGTGCTTTATAAATGGGGAAAAGGAAAGCACAAAAGACAGGATCCAAAAGGATGCACATAGTTTGATATGTGGACCTGAAAAGCTGTCACAGACACTAGTGCTAGTTCTGGTTTGGTTTTGATTATAACATGGTTAGGTACATCACCCTTGAAGAGTGATCCAGGTCTGAACTAGCACATTAGGAAGGTTTAATCCAACTCACCACTCCACAGTCATTATGTGAAAAAGTCTTGTCTCTCTTAATTCATTGTAACTTTTTTCTTTTAGAGATGTTTCATGAAAGCATCTGGTGAATAAAAACAAGACCTGCTTCAGTCATGGCCTTATCCCATATTGTTTGCTTCCTGCTAATAGGGCTCAGTGAGGTTTTTCCTTGGATTACTGTTTCTGATGTCAAGTGGTTCTGGTTTAAAGATGTGCCCCCTCTGTATTTTTCGTTAGTAGTTTGTTTACATGACAAAAATTGGTGGCTCAAATTCTTGCTTTTCTTTTTCATGCTGCTGTCTTGGAAAAGAGAGTAGAGAGTCTGTTCCAGAGAAACAGTTAATGCAAAAGCTAAATGCTGAGGTGGAATTCAATACTCTTACTTGCTTTCACTTACAAAGATGTAATAATCACTGCAGCGTATCGTTATGTCAGACCAGGGTAGCATGGAGAAGCCACTACACTTACCCAGGCTTTAATAACTGTTAGCTGCTATCGCAAATTATTACTTTTCAGAAGAGTATTACAATGTGGAAACTACGCAGCTGTGTCATCAAATTTTTAGTTAAATCCCTAATGTGTAGCGAATTTAGGCCTTCTGCTTACTTCGTTATGAGTAATAGTCTAAATTCCTCCCACTTACTGATTGGCTGTACGACCTGTTCCTATATAAACTGTTGATTTAGGCCTCCTATATCACACAATTATGTAGCATTTCTAAGTGCTGTTGACTCGTTGTGCCCTGACAGATGTTTACCCTTATTTCTCCTTGAAACAGCTGTTTGACCTAAAAGACAGTAACACAAAATGCACACTGCTATGAAATTACCATAATGGCTGTGGTTTGACACTAGAAAATTCTAATTAAAACAGTGAAAGATTCTGGAAGAGATTTCTGAAAGGAAAAGTATGGTCACCTACTTAACTAGTTCCAAGCTGAAACCCCGTAAGTTTGGTAAGGGAAATAGATGAGTTTCCTGCACAAATGGGACAGACGCACATGAATTCAGAAAGTTTTCTCAACGTGTTGGTCCGTTCAACAACAAGGTTGTTTCTGACAGTTTACTAGTGTTCTATTCTTAACCCAAACTTCTAGCATCCAAAAAGAAATTCTGCTGTAATTCAAGGAGAATACAATCAGTTATGAATAGCTTTGTTGGGTTTTACTATTTTTCTGTGCAAGCGTTCCACCTAGTTTAACAGCCACCATAATTTGTCTGAGTAGGGCCAGACCCTTGTCACTATGGAAACACCTTCATACTTGAAAAATATTTTCCAAGGAGAAAAGGTTGGTTCACTTATAGAATTGTTCTTTTAAGATGAGAGTAGGTGTATTGTATTTCCCAGCATGTGCAAATCAATAGGGAAGGCAGAATTGAAGCAGATTTTCATTTTCTGCGCAGGTGGAAATTGTGGTTTGTTCTTGTTTCTTAGAGGAAATGAAGCCCTTCAGGAAGGAGTCTTCACAGACCCTCTCGCTCGTCAACTGTTATCAGACACAGGAAGATTACCGCAAAATCATTGCAGAGATGTTTTGTCATTGTAGCTCTAAGCAGCTTATTGTTAGATTTGAAGCCCTCAGATGCAGTTATTAGACAGTCAGTACAAAAGAGTGTAATAAAGAATTGCTCACTGCAATCAAAGACTTTGAAAGACCAGCAGAACCATGCTTTGTATGGAATCTTCACTTGTAAGGTAAGCCTGTATCCTCTGACCATTACCACCTCCTAAAAAAAAGCGGGGGAAAAAAACCCAAAACAAAACCTACACCATAAACCAAATCACCAGACAGGAGCTCACTAATATATGATGACATCTTTCACATCCGCACATAAAAGGCAATGTTTTGGTTAATCAAATTAATCTTCTACTTAGGCAACTAAGAAAAAAAAAAAAACCCAACAACAAAAACCCCAAACCCAACTATGTTAAAGGAATAGTAGACAAAATTGTTTCATCTCTAAATTGTCTTCTCTCTCAGTTAGATTCAATTTTGGTGTAAGTTTTTTATCAGTAACAAGGCCATGAAGAATGTGTTCGTACTTGATTTAAGAACAGTTCTGCATATTACAGGTCCTTTTAGCTGATTTGTCCACTTAGCTCAGTAGCCTCGTGTTTAGCAATGAGGTGACACACGTTTTAAAGGTATGTTACCAGTTTTCAGTAATGTCTACAATAGCTCATGAACAAAATAAAGATACGGGGTATTTAATGCGCTCTTCTTTCTGGAAGCTTAGCAGGTGAAAAAGAAGACAGTGCCTTGGATGAGAAACTGCTAGGTGGTCTCCAAAAAAAAAATCTTATCATCCAACCAACACACTGAAAGTATGACGAAAATACAAAATAGCAGTAGATACGTAGATAAAGTTTTCTGTCTGCATAGAGAAACAGGAATTATAGACAAGGATATCTTTTTCTTATGATTAAATAGTACAGGGCAGTGTGGAGTTACTAGGAAGGTCAAAAGCTTAGAACTGATAAAGGATGCATCATCTGAAAGAAGAAAGTATAACAAGTTAACAAAAATAGACTGTCACAGACTAAAGTAAAAAAAGAATTTGGTATCTCATTAAGGAAGAATCATATCACTACTTATGCACCTTCCCATTTCTGTCTAACTAACAGCAATTTTTAAAGGTGTGGCTGAACACCAGATGAGCATACTTAAATACATTTCCAACAGTTCAGTACAAACCAGGTCTTATTTGAGGCTATTTTTGTCTCTAACTCAGTAGATGCTTATTTAAGTAAGGATCAGCTAGGTTGTCACATTGTTCCCAGAATGCACAAGTGTGGATTATATTTAAAACTGCCCATTTTTTCCAGGCAGATTTATGCACATCAAGTCTAGATGCTAATGAATATTCAAGCTAGCTTTAAGAAAGTGCAATAACAAAGTGTTTTGTAATCTCAATGACACAGAAAATGGGCATTTTCAATGCAGTTTTTATTTTACCCATAATACATCTTGCCAGTACACAGCACATCACTGCTGAACAGCAGTACAACTTACTGTATTTTTAGATGGCTAGAGAGAAAAGGAATTATGTAACAAAAGGGAATAGTGCAACAGTTTTAGGGTTGACAGATTTCCACTTTCCACCCACCCCCAACATATAAAGCAAACAGAATGATGTTAATTCTAGAATTTTTGGTTGCAACGCTGCTAGATTTATATAAACATAAGTTATAAAAAGTACAGGGCATAGAAACAGTTTACAAATAAGTTAAATTTCAATTATTTCAGTATTCACATTAGAAAAATATACATTTTATAGAGTCAGTCTTTTCCAGAAGAAAGCATATACAGTTTTCTAATTTATGGCTCCAATTCACTTTGCGAGAGCAAAATATCTTCACTTTGGCCATCTGCTTCCATTGCCAGTAGTGCTTCCACAGTTTCCAAAGGTATCCCCTCAGGTGTGCGAATGTGCATTGTAGTACCATTGGAATCGGTTACAATAACGATGCCTTCTGCCTGAGACAAAACAGCTGTATCTGGATGAGACAGGATAAGCCCACCTGAAGTCTGAATAAAAATCTGTTCATGTCCCTGAGACAAAAAGTCATGGCTCTCATCAGTAATCTCAAAGGCTACAGTTTCATCTACAGTAACTGTATTCTCCAACTCATGTTGTTCCTCCATCCCGCAAGAAAACGCATTCACGTCTTTAAAAGAGTTTTCATGGTTCACGTGAGCAGACAGGGAGGATTCCTGGACAGGGTTCTGGCGCGACTCAGTCTGAGCACTGTGTGGGTAGTTTATTGGCACAATGTTTGTGGCAAAAACCTTTTCAAGTTCCTGCATCTCATCAGTCATATCAGCATTATGAAGTTGTTCAGAATGTTCTTTAATTGCAAAATTACGGTTTTCTTCTTGCAGTTTCTGGTATTTTTCATTGTGACCATTTTCTTCACTCGTCGGTAAGTCAGTACTGTGACTGCCCACTGCATTCTCCAACACAGAGTCACAAAGTTTAGGAGCTGACAGTCCACCTGCTGAATTCTCACTCACAAAGTGTGCTTGAACTAATTCAGGTGAGCCATCTGCTTCAACAGGCAATACAACTTCAGTATGTAGCAGAGATGTGTTGCCTGCCATATCTGGTCCCTGTATGTTCACAGGTTGGGAATACTCTATCCTCATTTTCACAGTCTGGGAGAAGGTACCTGAATTTTCAGCATTGATTCTAACTCCTGAATCAGCAAATGAATTATGTTCCTCTGCTGTCAGTAATGTACTTCCAGTTGTGCCGCAGGTGATATGCCTATCTTCTGAAAGCAGGATTTCTCCGTTTAATGGATTAAAACCTGAAAAGGTGAGAGAAATCTCCTTTTGTTGGGCAATCTAACATTGCATGTCCAAAAAAAATATTTCTCAGCAATAATTTTGGAGGAAAAGCTAGACTATTCCCTGCTTTCTTCCCCACATTAGCAATCCTGAAACACCTTACGAGAGTTTCAGAGCAGTTCCCAATGAGAAAGCCAGTATAAAAATAGTCAATAATATTTCACTATCCAAAAATTCCTTATTTCCATATCAAGGGACCTTACATTAGAAGCAGCATTTTTCTGTTAATCCTGAAAACAACCTGGGCTGAAAGTCAAACTCAATTTTTTCCATCTGGCATACAGCCAGCCACATTAAAAGAGAAATAACATACCAGGCACAAAGTTGTCAGCTGCTCATCTCCACTACCATTAGTAAACTGACAGAAGCATTTAAACTTAATAAAATTTCTGTTGATAATCAAGCTCATCCTGGACTCAGATGTGTCATGAAGTTACTACATATCTAATTAGCTATGCTAACAGCCCCAGGAGAACTTTTGTCCTGTGATGGAAAAGCCAAAAACCACTAGAAATGTAGTATGTTTAACCAGTTATTTGACCTGGACCAAGAGCCAGGTCAAAAACCCAATAACTACTAAGCTGCAGTAGCATGAGCTGTCAGTTTTTATTATTAAAGATCAAAAAGACCAAGTAGGTTGGGGTGGTTTTTGTTATGAAAGACATTGGTGCACAACAGAGGAGGGCTAACACTGCAGACAGGACCATTTTTAACTTTTTGTACTGTAGACTAACAAAAGCCCTACTAGCAGGTGCAAGTGAAACAAAATTTAAAAAACTCATAGCCCAGAAGAAAAATCATAATACAACAAGAAATAAGCATGGTCATGCAGAGAGTCTTTCAGAGAAAGAAAAATAAATGAAGCGGAAAAAGAAAAACACAACCACTGACAGAAAGACACGCAAAGGGCAAAAGCAAAGTTGCTTACAGCAGCACCAAAAACAAATTTTACACAGCAAGAGGACAGTACTGCTAGAGACATCTCACTAGAGATGGATAAGGGCTGGAATCTCTCACAACAGTGATCATAACACCTCTGAATTACTTCAACACTTTCACGTAAAAGACAGTGGTGTTTTGGGAGATTACACGTGGAGACCCATCTCGCTTTCCTGTCTAATCCACGATTACCCTGCTAATCTGAGGGGCAGGGGGAATAAAGACAAAGAATGGATAAAAAGAAAGGCAACCACCCAAAGAGTACAGAGCAGAATGGTGCCTCAATTCCAATCTTCAGGTCCCGCATCTCCCCTGGGTTACAGGGCCAGCACCAGCTCTCCCCCTCCCCAGGATTCACAAAGCTCTGATGATTTCTGCTATTGCAGCCTGCTGGGGCAAAGAGGAAGGACATGCACACTGCTTCCTCTTCCTCTGCTCTCCCACTGCTGACCCAAAGGTTGTGCACCACCATCTCCACTGTAAGAGATAGGGGCGACATGAAGCATTCAGGAAGTACGCAGTAGAGGACAGTCCTATTCTCCTAGTACTGCAGCAGCATCAGTAACTGGATTATCATGCATTCAGAACTGAGCTACTGCTGTGTCTGCATCATGTGTAACTTCTCCCCCACCCCCCCAAAGCCTTTCCAGTTAAATAGCTGCTTTTGAAGGACCTGGGAAGCAAGTTAAGAAATAAAACCTTAAGATAAAAACCACAGTAGCTTGAAGAACAAAGAGATTTGTTCAGCTCCTCCATGAACAGAACAGAATTGGAAAATCTGAAGAGGTTACCATCTTTTTCAAACAGTGTACACAAATTCCCACTCTTTTCTTTCACTTCATCTTGACTGGCATAAGCATTATTCACATTCTCCGTTAAGTCTTCTAACTTGGTCCTTTTGGCTGATGGCAACAGTTCCTCCCCTGAGCTCTGTCAATACAAGAGATAATTAACTGACTGCCACCGTAACAGCTGACAATACTGGAAAAGATCACAAACTAACTGGGCACTTCATGGCAGTGAACTGATACCCTCCTTGAAAACAGGATTTTACACTAAAGGTCTTCCTAAAAAGTAAGGAGTTAAACACAGCCCTCACACTTCGCCAAAATGCCACTGATTACTTTTGATATTTGGTTGAAACAATCTGTCTTTGCTTCAACCTCAAAGCTTCTCTCTGAGCCTTTGTGATTAGCTGTAGGACATGAAACCTGCTATATGCTATCTCTCCAACTTCAGTAAAGGGCTGTGAACAGCCTGCCCAGCATTGTTCGGTTAATGAAGAAAGACTGATCAGCTCTTTAAATTTAAACTGCAGGTAGAAAAATGGAAAACCACCAGTCTTATTTATCCACCACCAGAAACTACTCTGGATTAAACAAAAAGTAGAACAGTTAAGGGACAGACCATAGAGATGTGACTTTCAAGAAGAGGAAACACTGTTCCCTGCTACAGCTGTCAACAGACTAAATCAGTTCAACTGACTAGTCAGAAAGAAAGGATCTCTTTTCACACACCTCTACCAACCACCAATTAGCAGAGCAACTGCTCCTCTGTCACAGCCTGCTGTAAGTTAGCCTATTTACTCCAAAACAAGTTACTAGAATCTGAGTATCCTTCTCACTGTAGGGCCCCCATTTACTGGTGCAACAAAATTCTTCCTTCTATCATGAGATTACCTGGAAGCTTTTAAGATTCTGTCCTGAATGCTACCAAGTATCTTCCCAAAGTGTATCTTTAGCATGCTATGATACCATAGTAGAGAGTCCACCTTTAAGTGTTTCCAAACTCCAAACACCATGAAAGCCTTAATTTAACATGAGTCAGATAATACTGTTTAGATTTTGTAAGGAATAATTATCTGTTTTAACAAGTTTTCATTTGTCTTAGTTTCATTTTTAATTTTCACAAAGGTATTCCGTACCTCAGCTAACCGTTTTTGTCCCAGTATCTCCACAGGCACTTGCTCACTAACCATTTTAATTATACGTTGTGAACAAGAGTCTACACCTTGCGTCTTTCGTTCTCCAGTGAGTATTTCTGTAATTCCTAGTGATTCAGCAACCTTTAAAAACAGTTATAAGAAAAAAAAGTAAAAGTTAGCCTCTCCAATCTGAATACATAAGTGCTGAAATACTGATTCATTTTCTTAAAAATGAACTAGAACTACACAGGGTCTAGTCTAATAATCAATCACCACAGCTCAATGAAGTATTTAGACTCCCATGTTTTCCACTAGCCTCCATATTAATAGAACACGACCTTCATTTGAAGGTGAATATTAGCAGGCAAACGCAAAAGAATTAGGAGTACAACGGTTATATATAGAATTCAGAGACAGTTACTAAGAGCAATGTTTAATAAAGAACACTGCTGAGGCTCTCCATTATTTAAAAAACATTTAAGTCTTCCTGTTTCAGAGTATCTCATAGTAGTTAAGGATCGCCCCCTCCCCACCATTGCATTCTTCTGTGTCATCCTTATGTAGGTGTGCTATTATACAGCTTCTCCAGGCTCGGTTGGTTTTGTTTGTTTTGGGGTTTTGTTTTGGGTTGTGGGTGGGTTGTTGTGGGGGTTTTTTTGTTGTTGTTTTTTTTTTAAAGAGCACAATTCTATATTAAGAATGCACATTATCACTGAAGAGAAGCAAGAAAGAAGTTCCATTTTGGGACTGCCAGTATCAACAGCATCCCTTTATTTGGTGTAACTTCATTTCTCCAAAGGGAAACACCAGTGTTAATTACAAAACAGCCTGATGAGCACACAGTAATTCTATAAAGTTTTTTTAGTACATACAGTGAACATCATGATTTATTCTGAAAAATATTAACCACTGCTAACAGTCCATACAGGACTTCATTTTTTAAACCAGGATTATTATAAGAACCAAAATCTTATCTCCACCATCCCTACTCTAAGTTCTCCAGTATGCTCCCCTCTCATAGTAGTTGTGAGTTCAGTGCTTATAGTACATCATTTAGAAATTTTGGTGGAGGTAGTATACAAAATAGTGGTTTTACTACTGGGAACACAGAAGGGAAACCGCAAAGATGTTATGTATAAAGGCCTGCTTTATTCTAAGCAAGGGGAACATAAATCAATGAGGATCCATAAGGATAAAGAGATCCACATTTAAAAAAAACAAAAGAAAAACAGAAAACCAAACCTACATTGTCTTTCTAGACACAGCTGCATAAACAATGAATTTGAAGAGTCACTGAAATAACAGTTTGCAGTTTTATTAATGTATTCGCTGCCTTTCATATTTGTTAGTATAACTGTGAACTACATAGATGCATTCAGTTTGTCCTCATTTTGCAATGAAACCACTTACTCCTTTAAATCAAGGCCACTCATTTTAAATATAGACCCCTCCTTCCGAATCAAACATCAAGATGATCTTTTATTAGCAGTTAATGCTAAATACACCTTGCAGTAACATGCAGCTTCATACTACCCCAGCTATGCAAGACAGATTAACAGTGCTGCTAGAATATTTTTTTTAATATTTCTAGTTGTATCTACTGCCATAAACTAGAATGGTAGTTATTTTATGGATTTCTTTTTCTCTTCAGTTAGTTGTTGGACTTTTGAGAATAATGTCTATTTTTGCTCATGAAAAAACATTTTTTCTTCAAATAACTTCACTAGGATGACAAAGCTTATCAGAGAAAAATAGAAATGCAAAGCATCTAAAATAAACAAAACCAACGAACCAACCGAAAAAAAAAATCACAGTTCCAAATAGAGTGCTTTATTACCTTAGCATCTTTTATTTCAACAGGCTGCTGGCAACTCAGCAAATCAGAATTACTGAGGTGATCATAAGCCATTTTCTTTACCATATTATGCAAGTCTTCGAATTCCCTATACACATCTGGGAAGTAAGCTTTGGCTGGATACCCTTTTTCAACCTAGAAATAAGAGGGGAAAAAAAGGGTTTGTTTCCCCCTCCCTATATTTTTAACAGATGAAATCTGTCAGTTTGTGTTCTCCAACATTTTAAAATAGAAACATTTAAGTCAAAAGATTATGGAATATTCAAAAATGCCACTGAACCAGGCAGCAAAAAGCAAGGCTCTCCATCAAAAGACCTGCCAGAGTTTTGCTTGTGTAGGACTGAAGTGACGTATAAAACATCTACATTCCAAGCAATTCTAACTTAGGAAATTCAGATACATCTCTAAAGGAATCTTTTTGATGTATACTAATGGAAGTGTCCCTAAAATAATTCAACATTTTAACATAAAAGAAAAAAACAACTCACCTTCATCAATAGAAATTCATATACTGTAACAAGCTTTGTAAGGCGTGGGAGAGCCAGCTCCATTAAGTCTTCATTATCACACTGTTGTATTAGCTGTCAAAGGCCAGAATGAGTTTATTAGAGCAAAGTAGCCTACAGAGGTTATGCATCCCACATTCAGAACAGAAAACATCACTACCTTTTTTGAAATATATACTGTATGTTTAAGAAGCTTTGAGAAAAGATGCAAAATACACCAAAAGAGGAAATAAATTAGAAAACCTCAAAACAATTACTACCCATATACAGACAAAACTCAGTCCCACAAATATTAGTAATTCATAGAAAGAGCAACATCAGTCAATTTAGAGCCATAAAGGATCTTCCACAAAACACAGGCAAAAAAAACCAGAATATTGTGTTAGTTGCACGCATTTTAATCCCCATTTTGTCCTCCCCCAAGAGCTTCTTTGTGTTTTCTTTTCAATGTTGCCCAACGTCAGTTGGATTTATTTCTTTTTACTGTGTTGGAGGAGATACATAATAGTAGCTAGTAACTTTTCTTCTCCAGAAAAAGAATAGTGAGAGGATATCTACATGTCAAAAATCCCTCTCCAGGCTGAGTTCCCATTTTCCCTTTGTCCAGTGTTCTGCTAGAAGTATTTTTTCCTTAATAGACAACTTAATGTTTTCTTCTTAGAAGACATCTTAGGCTTTCATCTTGTCAGTACACAAGAATGTTTAAAAAAAAGAGATTTTTTTTTTAAATCTTTTTGAAAATGATTCCTTGAAAGTAAGTGATCAAAAAAAAAAAATGGAGGACAGGGGGAAGATACTTGTGAAGTAATTGCAGAAGAGAACCATACCTCTTTTAACCTAGCTTTTCTTCTGAATACATTGTGCTCTGCTGACACACTACTAAGTGACTTTGAAGGGGACTGACCAGGTCTGCTAAGCCTTCCAGAACACCTAGATCTTCCACCCATCCGTGGTCGACCACGTCTCTTTGGTCGTCTGGGTCTTCCAGGTCCTTTTGGTGTGATGGGTCCCCGGTGTCCTGAACTGGTTTCATTTTGTTGTTCTGCCAACATATGTCTGCTTTCTGCAGACTTACGAGTCTTAATTAAAAGAAAGAGAAAAGTATTTATTGGCCACTTTAAACGGTGTTTTGAGGAAGACAATTTTATAATTAAGTTCTTCATCTATGCAAACAATAAATAGTGTATTAAATAAATGCAAAGCTGGATACAAGTATAACTGCAAACAAAGTTGTGGACTAAATCCAACACATTAGTAAGACTGCTGCTTCTGCAGCACATATATGCCATAATTTGCAAAGCTGTGGATTTCTGATCCACAAAATGTCATACAAAATACAAACTATGATTGAAGAGCTGTTTTCTGTCAGTTAAATATGTTTAGTATTTTTAAAGTAAAATATGTCCTCTTCAAATAAAGAGGTTGTAAAAATAATAACCCAAAGAAAAATTTGAGTTTCACTGTGCCTATGTCAAAGCACAAAGACTTTATATGAAAGACAAACTTCTAAACAGCCATGAGCAGTAACAAGTCCAGTAACTAAAAATCAAAATATATTGCCCAGTTTCCACATTTCAAAATCCTTACTCTTCCCTAGGAGCACAGCTAAGAAGTAGTTTCTGTTATAAGACCACACGGCAACTCAAACTACATTTTCTATTGTTATGTTATCGTTGTGATTTCAGTGCAATTTTTTTTTTTTTTACCAATCAAAGCAGTGATTTCTTACTGAACATGTCTTGTCTTCCCTTCTGGGCTAGAATTTCTAAGAATGTCCTAGTATTTTTTGAGAGGAGTCTACAATAGTACTGAGGTATATCAGGCTTCTTTTAATAATCTGCACATTTTCATCCCAACGTTCAGTAGCTCCCTGCTAATTCTAGTGACTAGTAAAGCTCCAAAAAGGGCAAATTTATGTCAGTTCTATTCAGGGATTGAATTACTAAATTAGTTCTAAATACAAGATAAGACTAGGTTGAATGTGGGGATCTTGATTGCCTTCCTGTCTGTATCAATGTACCAGTTTTAATAATCTTGCTATTCTTTCTGGAAAGTATTTACCTGACCAAAAACTGTAACAAATTAAAGTGCAAATTTGTAGAATCTGTATTTGCTAGTTAAAAGTAGCAGGTACAATAGCAATCTAACAGTCAGTAGTAGCATTATGTATAAAACTGAAATTTTTCTAAAATTCCCACCATCCTGGGTAAAAGAAATGCTGTACAGGGAAGTAACAACTACATAACAATACAGAGAGCAGACTTCAGTATTCTGCAATTCTCTTTTTCCACAGATGACAGAAGAGTATAGAGGACGGGGGATGCTGCATTGGCATCTTAAGCTGTAAATTTTCACATTTCTGAAAACAACTTCATATTTATAAATAAAAGTAATAAATGTGACACTGCTACATCTAAATGAGTATTTTTTCCTAGACAGCAGCTGTATCAGCACTTGCTGCAAGATGTTAGAGTCATTTTAATATTAAAAGAGAAACTTTACTTTGAAGTGACCAGCTTAAAACTTCACAGAAAAATAGCTGCTGCTAAAGTAGCTTCCAATCCAGAGACTCACATTTCACCAAAGGGTTTGGTTAGCAGAGGTAGCTAAGCCACACTTTCAAAACCTGCTCTAGGAAAAGCTGTGGTCCACTGTTGGATTCTAAACAAGTGTCACTGCAGGAAAATCTCTATTTCAGTAACAGGAATTGATTGAGCAGATGATGTCTTGCTGTCTGTCATGCTAAAGGCCGTAACTGAACAACGCAGTATTCTTATCCGAATGCAGAGAAGAATGCTATTTACACAGACAAGGTTTTTTCAAGCCAAAAACTGTAGTACCAAATGAACACTCAGTGAACATTTTGTTTTATATGCCTGTGCAAGAATACTATTCCCGCAACATTGCAAGAGACAATAATTTGATTTTTAAAGCACTTCAATGGGAAATTTAATTTAGTATATCGGTGGATATTTCTGAGCAGTACAAGACTTCTACATTTCCCTAATGACATGCCCTACTGAACTGACACATGTTTAAATCCCTACCTTCAGCCTTTCCAACAATACTTACACTGTTGTCAACAGGAACTCAGATGAATGAGTACAGTATGTGGCTACAAAACTGCCATTCTACTTTATACAGAACTGAGAACTTTTCTGAGTAACATACTTTACCTGTTCTCCAGCCTTTGAATCAACAGTTTCTTCCAGATTGGTAGCTAGTGCATTTTTGTTATTTAAAGTGACAGCAATTGAATCCAAATCCAGTGCTGGACTCATCGTTTCCTCTCTTACTCTACAGGTGTTATCCAGAAACATACTTCCATTAAGCTTATTTAAAGGTACTTTTTGAGGTGAAGACTCCAGCTGTCCATGGCCTGGGTTAAGTTTATAATGTCTCGCTAATCCTCCTTTTCCTATATAAGATTTTTCACAAGTCTGACATTTAAACATTTTGGGTTTCAGATTATAATTTGAAGAACTGAATAATGCATCCTTTCCCTTCACCTTTCCTTCTTCTTCATCTTCTATACTCAGCTCAGAATAGTCATCTGAATCAGACTGATGACCATCAGCCAAATCCTCCATTTTAATGAATTTATAATCTTTAGCTTTGTATTTTGGGGGGCGTGAAATCCGTCCAGAACGAGTTTTCACTTTCAAGGATTTTTTTAACTTGTCATCTTTTTGGTTTTTTTCAAGGCATGGTATCAGAGTATTTGCTGAACTGGCTGCGACCATAGTAATATTTGGAGACCTTGCAGACGATACTGTGGCACGTGTAGCTTTCTGTCCATTTAGCATCTTAGATGTGGGAATCTTGTTCACAGACACTGATCCATGAGACGGCAAAGGTCTCTGCATAAGCAACTGAATTGGAGACTCGGAAGAACTATGCAGGAATAGCTGCTGCTGCTGCTCAGTTCCTGTAACAGGCTGTATCCTAATTATCTGGGGATTAATAATGCCAAGTCCTGGTATGTTAGAATTTCTACCAACTGACTGACTCAGCGTTATAGTTTTGGACTGGATCGGTGCCAACGATGGCATTGGCCTTTCAGTTTCCTTCATCTGTCCTGGCTGAACTTGGACACAAATGGCTTCCAGCTGCTTTTGTGGAAAAAAAGGAAGAGTTGAGGTTACACAAATGCAGTATTTATAAATAAAAACAATACTTATCAAGATGATACACACCCACCCTTAAAGCAAAGCAGGGGGAAACAAGTGCACATCATTAGTTTTCCGTTTTAACGCATCAAAGCACAGATTCCCTTCCTTCAAGCTACGGGCTTTCCTGCACATTTACTGATGTGACTGCTGTTCAACTAAAATGTGTAAAGTTTGCTCTTAGGCCGTGTCAGAGCTTTGTTTCCTGCTAGCAGGCCTGTTCGGGAATAGCAAAGTCAATGTCATCACCTAGGCAGATTCATAACCTTCAACAAACCAAACACAGGAGAACTACAGTCTGCTAAATGACACAGGCCAAATACCAGACCCAGGACATACTGTATTAAGTGCCCAGTTCAAAAAAAACCCTAACTTTGTGACAACGATTAAGAGGAGATATGTGTTAACTGTTCATCTCCCCCGTAGTCTCTTCTCCTCATCCAAATTTCTGCCTCAGCTCGAACCAATCACTTGACAACCCCTGCACCCAAAACGTGGGCTGAAAGCCCAGGCACTGCCAGCTTCTGTAAGAGGTGCATGCATTGTCTGCCAGTGCATCACCGCTTAACCACTATGAAACAGCTTTTCCAAGCTGCTCTAGCTGCACGTGTCGTCAGACCGAAATACTGACCACAGCAGCTAGCATCTACTTTCAAACATGGATTTTTCTAAACCACGTTGAAAGTTCTGTCTTTCAGCTGCAAGACTCGAGTCCACACCCAAGGGCAGGTGTGACTGAGGAGGCAAAAAAAATTTAAAAAATCCCGAGACCTGCCCTTGGCTGTGGATTTCATCACCACACGGGCGCCGCAGGCTCCCCCCCCCCTTCCCAGCCCCCGCCTCGGTTACCTTCTGCGGGAGGAGCCGGGCGGCCGCCATGGATTTGCCCTGCTGCAGGGCGACCTGCTGGGCCACGCTCTGCAGCTGCTGGGCGGCGTTGTGCATGATGCTGG